GGCTTCTGAACTGAGCGCTGATAACAACTTGGGTTGTCCTTGTCCTCTTTAGTCCGGATGACATGGCGTCCCAGTTTTCCAAAAAGAACTTCAAATTTTGATTTGTCTGACCACAGAACAGTTTTCCACTTTGCTAGAGTCCACTTTAAATGAGCCTTGGCCCAGAGAAAACGCCTGCGCTTCTGGTTCCCGTTTAGATATGGCTTCTTTTTTGACCTATAGCGTTTTAGCCGGCAACGGTGAATGGCACGGTGGATTGTGTTCACTGACAATGTTTTCTGGAAGTATTCTTGAGCCCATGTTGTGATTTCCATTACAGTAGCATTCCTGTGTGTGATGCAGTGCCGTCTAAGGGCCCGAAGATCACGGGCATTCAGTATGGTTTTCCGGCCTTGACCCTTACGCACAGAGATTGTTCCAGATTCTCTGAATCTTTGGATGATATTATGCACTGTTGATGATGATAACTTCAAACTCTTTGCAATTTTTCTCTGAGAAACTCCTTTCTGATATTGCTCCACTATTTTTTGCCTCAGCATTGGGGGAATTGGTGATCCTCTGCCCATCTTGACTTCTGAGAGACACTGCCACTCTGAGAGGCACTTTTTATACCCAATCATGTTGCCAATTGACCTAATAAGTTGCAAATTGGTCCTCCAGCTATTCCTTATATGTACATTTAACTTTTCTGGCCTCTTATTGCTACCTGTCCCAACTTTTTTGGAATTTGTAGCTCTCATGAAATCCAAAAGGAGCCAATATTTGGCATGGCAATTCAAAATGTCTCACTTTCAACATTTGATATGTCATTTATATTCTATTGTGAATAAAATATAAGTTTATGAGATTTCTAAATTATTCCATTCTTTTTTTACTCACAATTTGTACAGTGTCCCAACTTTTTTGGAATTGGGTTTGTAAATATATACGCAGTACCAGGAGATCGTGTTGATTGGAACCATGCATTAAGTGACAGTATCATAATATCCCTGCTGCTGTCTGTGTTTTTAATGTAAATCAAAGAACAAATACCCACTGCTCTTGACTGAATTACTTTTATAAGTAAACTTAACTTAACTTTATAACTTTAATAAGGATTAATGTTTCGTGGCTGGTAAATACATAATTAAAATATATGTCCGTATTGTCTGGTAAATTCTTTTAAAGCTGCAGTCCATAGCTTTTTTTGGGTATAACCAGCAGTGTTCAAAACTCTCTGCTTGCCTTAGCTCGATTCAAAGCGGTAAGTTTGTAATAATGTTTTTAATTCCAGAGGTACTGGTGGATTTCCACGGGTGATTCGAGCACGTCTTTACGTCATAATGTCATATCTGTACTCATAAAGAAGGAGTCTTGGCTAGTATAAGCTATATTGAGTCATTACGTCACATCTGTATATACACACAGCTGGCCTGTACACATAAAGGAGTCTCGGCTAGTATAAGCTATATTGCGTGTGAGGATGTTGGAGGTGGAGATTTATAGCCTTTTCTCGAAGCACTTGATATAATTAAACTTATCAAATTGATCGATGGCAGATCCAGAAAGGTTCAAACGACAATCATCAGTGACAACAGATTCAGATTTCTGCTGTAAAATGCAAAAAACTTAGTTCAGACTTCAGAGTGAAAAAACTACAGAAAAAAAAGTGACTGCAACTGGGCCATGTGAAAACAAGGATACACATCGGAAGGACATTACATGTAGTCACGCCAAGCTGACGTTGTTAACATTAAAGGAGCATTTCACCCATTTCAACATTAATCTTTATTGAAAGTGGATCATAAATGTAGTCGAAGTGAATTGTAGTCGAATTTTTTAATTTAGTGCCCTCTTGCCCGAGAAAAGACAGAAAATAACTGAAGGGTGCATTTGTATGTAAGACAACAACTCCCACAATGCACCACATTGCACAGCTCCTCAAGCCACACCCACTAATCCAGAACAGCGCAAACAGAGAAATCACTCTTCCTGCTACAAGGCTAACGTTAGCCGTCACCAGAGTTTGAAATTCATTTCACACAAAATTTCTAGTTAGTTGGCTGTGGCGAGCAAGACGAGCGTGAGGGATGTGAGAGGACAGCGTGAGGCCGGTGCTGTGAGTGATAATGAAAGATACCAGTGAGACGCACCGGTCCCGCATCTCTCATGGAGGAAAGGAGGCATAAAGGAGGAGCAACGATGGCAGATCGAGAAAGAAACAGGCCTGATTTTATGTTGTGTTTTGTTTCTGTTGTGTGTGGACAGCAGTCGTCAATGAGGGACAAAATACTTTTGTAATGAAATGCTTAAATGTTCGCCGGTTCCCACCTCTTTCTTCCCACAACAACGAACCCCGTTAAAGATGAACTGAACTGAAATTTGAGAAAAGGTGATATAACAGATGTATTTTATTTATTCTCATAATGTTTGTAGTCTACACTTTTCAATGAAATTGACTTCCTTATTTGTCCCATCTCAGGGGAAAATAAGGGAATAAACCATGACCATTCAAAAATATGGCTAGGTTTCTAAAGATTCAAAGCTTAATGCAAATGGGTGAAGTGTCCCTTTGCACTCAGGTCTAAGTCTCATGGCCCTCTATCAGAATCCAGAGTTTTGAGAAGATTGGAGAAACTTATTTTTTCGCACTGAAAAAGACAGTTTGTTTATTTATTTTTTTGGGTCGAAATTTTGAGTTTCTCTGATCTTCTTGAAACTCTGGATTCTGATAGAGGGCCAAGAGACGTAGACCTGAGTGCAAAAATGGAGTCTCTAGACCCTTCCAGAGCTGATATATAGATATATTTATTATGGCATAAATGCTACGTGGGATCTCAATATCTCAGCTCTGGAAGGGTCTAGAGCCTCCATTTTTGCACTCAGGTCTAAGTCTCATGGCCCTCTATCAGAATCCAGAGTTTTGAGAAGATCAGAGAAACTCAAAATTTCGACCCAAAAAAAAAGGAGTGGTTTTTTTTTTTTCGGTGCGAAAAAATACGTTTCTCCAATCTTCTCAAACCTCTGGATTCTGATAGAGAGCCATGAGACTTAGACCTGAGTGCAAAAATGGAGGCTCTAGACCCTTCCAGAGCTGAGATATTGAGATATTTATAATGGCATAAATGCAACGTGGGATCTCAATATCTCAGCTCTGGAAGGGTCTAGAGCCTCCATTTTTGCACTCAGGTGTAAGTCCCATGGGCCTCTATCAGATTCCAGAGTTTTGAGAAGATTGGAGAAACTTATTTTTTCGCACCAAAAAAACAACAACACAGGGGTACCACTGTCGTTTTTTTTTTTTTGGGTCGAAATTTTGAGTTTCTCTGATCTTCTTGAAACTCTGGATTCTGATAGAGGGCCATGAGACTTAGACCTGAGTGCAAAAATTGAGTCTCTAGACCCTTCCAGAGCTGAGATAGAGGCTGCGTTACAAACCGCATACTTAATGAGTAGGTACTTAATTTCGATAAGTACTTACTCAACGAGCGCTAAAAGAGTAGGTACTTTATAACCAAATCTCGTTGAGTATGAATGAGAACCGGACATCTGCCATGTTGACGTTATCATGTGACCTACTAAGCGTTATCACAAGCGCAACAACTTAAAATATTTGAAGGTTAGGCTATGTTTAATTCAACTATCTATAAATATCTTGATATTGATGAAACTTGCTCATTTTGTTGTGGTATTGATGAAGAAACAGCTTCCCATTTATTTTTTGAATACATTTAGGGTTGATTTAAGTTGTTATATTTTAAACCCTACTAATGTGACCCACAGTGTTATTCTTATAGTGATATTTTTTTAATTAAGAAACCCCAAAATCGTCTTCTCTTGAATATGTTGTTAATTTCTTTATTTTATACCCCAAAAAGTTTCTCCTTAAAGTTTTCCTCTTTTTCTTGATGAATTTACCTCATTTACTATCCCTCAGACTTATAACAACAACACATTTTTTTAATGTATTATGAAGAACTATTATGAAGATATTTAGCCTTGTTATTGTTTTTTCCTGTGTATACATTTAACTTTATGATGTCCCATTATGATGTACACAAACCAATGATCCTTATATTTTCTGTTTTGTCATTATAATTGTTACATACAACTATGGTATCTTTCCATGATCTTGAATGTAATAAGTTTAAAATATATATGCAACAGGTGCACTAACACTTCATAACATCAGTAACTCGACAGCACAACCAAGAACAGTTTTCCTCTGCGTTTGTAATGTCTCCACAAAGGAGACGGGCAGCTGCTGGAAGATCTCTTTTGGAGAAAACTGTTGATTTTATACTCGAAAAATGTAAGTATCACTCCTTAAAAATAATATTACCTCAGAATGAATTGCATTGTTAGCCCACCCCAAAACTTAAACAAAATAATAATATTAAATGCTGACCAATACTTAATTATATAACTTTTTTATATACTAAAAATATAATTTAATATAACAAGCAAAATGTAATTTGTTTTGTCATATGACAGTTATGCATGAATACATTTTGATAAATGCAGTGAAACATCTCAATTGTCAGTCAATCGATGAATTAATGCATACATTAATGAAATAATTACATTTTATATACTGACAACAATAAGAAAAATGATTAAATGTGTAAAAGAACAAATAAAAGTAACCATCACAATAAACAAATGCATACACAAGTCAGTCAACAACACATGAAACAAAGCTATATTCAAACTACAAGCATGTATTTACAGCCGCTGAACACCATATCCTACTGCCGACTCAGCGGTTCCCATTCTGCGGATTTATTCTGATCGTAAAGGCAGGTGGAGAGATGGAGGGTCTCATCCATGGCACCACTTCCAGGATTCAGCTCTGGGCTCCTCATCCTCAGTGCTCACACCAGTCTGCAGACATTTCAGATCCTACAAAAATGCACAAACATTATACAAAAGCAGTCATTTTAACACACAATGTCATTTGATTTATGTATTAAAAATAACCTTACTTTATATTTGAGTAAAATCCCTAAAACAAATGCTGCCATCATCTTTCCTTGCAGGTCCTACTCCACCACAAAAGCTCTGCAGCAAATGCACAGAAATCAATAATCAGAAATGTGTTGTAATTTCTTTACTTGAATTTACAATAATTCAAATAAACTACAACTTAAGATTTAATAGATTTTGTTATCCATTTCTGTAGTATACTCACTCAAAGCCTTTCATGACAGCATTCAGCATCATGAGCCTCTCTCCACCGGATAAACACACGTGTGTTCTCCTGTCCCTGTAACATACAGACAAAATTCACATTACGAGCTCAACACTGCATTTACATGCTGAGGTTGATGTGTTAACTCACTTTTAATCCAACTTAAATGTTCCTCAATATATCAACAATATCGAAACTCAAAATTTCGACCCGACAAAAAAAAAAAACGAAAGGGGTACCAGTGTCGTTTTTTTTTTTCGGGTTGAAATTTTGAGTTTCTCTGATCTTCTTGAAACTCTGGATTCTGATAGAGGGCCATGAGACTTAGACCTGAGTGCAAAAATAAAGGCTCTAGACCCTTCCAGAGCTGAGATATCGAAACTCAAAATTTCGACCCGACAAAAAAAAAAAACGAAAGGGGTACCACTGTCGTTTTTTTTTTTCGGGTTGAAATTTTGAGTTTCTCCGATCTTCTTGAAACTCTGGATTCTGATAGAGGGCCCTGAGACTTACACCTGAGTGCAAAAATAAAGGCTCTAGACCCTTCCAGAGCTGAGATATCGAAACTCAAAATTTCGACCCGAAAAAAAACCCGAAAGGGGTACCACTGTCGTTTTTTTTTTTGGGGTTGAAATTTTGAGTTTCTCTGATCTTCTTGAAATTCTGGATTCTGATAGAGGGCCATGAAACTTAGACCTGAGTGCAAAAATAAAGGCTCTAGACCCTTCCAGAGCTCAGATATCGAAACTCAAAATTTCGACCCGACAAAAAAAAAAACGAAAGGGGTACCACTGTCGTTTTTTTTTTTCGGGTTGAAGTTTTGAGTTTCTCCGATCTTCTTGAAACTCTGGATTCTGATAGAGGGCCCTGAGACTTACACCTGAGTGCAAAAATAAAGGCTCTAGACCCTTCCAGAGCTGAGATATCGAAACTCAAAATTTCGACCCGAAAAAAAACCCGAAAGGGGTACCACTGTCGTTTTTTTTTTTTTGGGTTGAAATTTTGAGTTTCTCTGATCTTCTTGAAATTCTGGATTCTGATAGAGGGCCATGAGACTTAGACCTGAGTGCAAAAATGAAGGCTCTAGACCCTTCCAGAGCTGAGATATCGAAACTCAAAATTTCGAACCAAAAAAAAAAAACGTAAGGGGTAACACTGTCGTTTTTTTTTCTGGTCGAAATTTTGAATTTCCATATCTCAGCTCTGGAAGGGTCTAGAGCCTCCATTTTTGCACTCAGGTCTAAGTCTCACGGCCCTCTATCATAATCCAGAGTTTCGAGAAAATTGGGGATACTTAATTTTTCGCCCCCCCCCCCAAAAAAAAACGTAAGGTGTCGTTTTTTTTTTCTGGTCGAAATTTTGAGTTTCCATATCTCAGCTCTGCAAGGGTCTAGAGCCTCCATTTTTGCACTCAGGTCTAAGTCTCATGGCCCTCTATCATAATCCAGAGTTTCGAGAAAATTGGGGATACTTAATTTTTCGCCCACCCAAAAAAAACGTAAGGGGTAACACTGTCGTTTTTTTTTTCTGTTCGAAATTTTGAGTTTCCATATCTCAGCTCTGGAAGGGTCTAGAGCCTCCATTTTTGCACTCAGGTCTAAGTCTCATGGCCCTCTGTCATAATCCAGAGTTTCAAGACGATTGTGGATACTTAATTTTTCGCCCAAAAAAAAAAAAACGTAAGGGGTAACACTGTCGTTTTTTTTTTTCTGGTCGAAATTTTGAGTTTCCATATCTCAGCTCTGGAAGGGTCTAGAGCCTCCATTTTTGCACTCAGGTCTAAGTCTCATGGCCCTCTATCATAATCCAGAGTTTCGAGAAAATTGGGGATACTTAATTTTTCACCCCCCCAAAAAAAACGTAAGGGGTAACACTGTCGTTTTTTTTTTCTGTTCGAAATTTTGAGTTTCCATATCTCAGCTCTGGAAGGGTCTAGAGCCTCCATTTTTGCACTCAGGTCTAAGTCTCATGGCCAGGGCCGGCCCGAGGCATAAGCGAACTAAGCGGCTGCTTGGGGCCCCTGGCCACCAGGGGGCCCCCTAATCGAGGTTATTTTTTTTTTTTTTTTTTT